CAGGCAACTTGAAGCTGGTGGGATTGTTGACCCTCCCCCTTTTTTGTGTCGTTTCGGAGGGACTCCCGAATGGCTCCTTCCACCTGAAACCAGCCCTAGTAGGACTTCTTTGAGTGCGCAGACTGCTGCTTCGTCTAGTGATCAGTTGCCGCAGAATCCTCAGAGACCTGGCTCACGCATGTCTCCGGAGTTGCTTTCTTTGCTCCAGCAAGCGTTCCGCTCTCCCCGGCGCACCGCCTCCCCGGCCACACGGATCATGGCCGAAGCAGCTCCGCCGACCGGAATGGGGAACCGCCAACTTCGTGAGTGGATACAGGAATGGGGCAGTGCGTGGGATTTCCTCGGCCTCGCCCCCGGCAGCGCCATGAGTGAGGTTCTTCGCGCATACAGGCGCACGGCGGTCCGTCCACTTGATGAGGTCGAAATGGCCACTGTGCGCATGCAGGCCCTGGGGAATGCCAAGGAGATCCTCCTCAATCCAAGCCTACGGATTCTGCACGACAACATCCTGGGCGTTGGTGTGACTGGTGGAACAGCCCCTCCTCCTTCGAGTGCCGCGCCCGATGGTGGTTCTGGCGGCACCGCCCCGCACCATGGTTGGTGGAATCAGGCGCCTCCGCCAAAGGCCCCACCGACGAGCTCGAGTTCCTCGGCACCACCTCCTTCGAGCAAGAGCGCTGGAAAGGCGCCACCGCCAACTGGACGTGGACCTGGCCCGAGCACCTCGGCCCGCGGCACGGCAAAGGGCAAGAGCAGAGGTCGATGGGGCACCCCTTTCTACGACTCCTCCAGCAGCGAAGAGTTTGAAAGTGCTGGCCTAGATACCGGGTCCTGAGATCGACAGATACCCGCGCATTCGATGCGGGCGTGTCTTGAGGTTCTGCCGCCAATGTGGTCACCATCAGTACTGGGGAGATGCCTGGTGCATGAGGTGTGGCTGGGTGAGGCATCACCGAAGGTGGAGGCATGAACGTCGACCCAGCGAACACAAAGGACCACCCTTCACCGCCCAGGAGAACCCTCTGGAGGCAAAGGGCCCACTGGTGATGGAGAACCTCCGCGTGGACCTCAGACCAGTGGATATGGTGGAACAGGGGAAGCTCCTCCGGGACACGAACCTGGTTCTTCGTCATCGGGCGCTCCGCCCCGGAGCAACCCATGGGAGCGAGCAAAGAAGGCCCCGCCTCCTCCGCCTCCGAGTTCGGGTGATTCTGGCCCAAGTTCAGCACCCCCTCCTGGAGGAGATCGCAGTTTCTGGAACTGCAGCCGGTGTGGCTGTATCTTTCCCGTGTCGGAAAATTACTGCAGCGTACAAGGCACCGCCAAAGGCGCGCCCTAGCAGTCCATCCTCGGCGCCCCCACCCACTCCGCAAAAGGCGCCTCCAAAGGAGAAAATCCCGACCAAGGCGCCACCGCCCTCCACCTTCAACAATACAATGAGGTGGATTTGCGGAGGCTGTGGAGAACCTAATGGTCTCCACCGATATGGGTGCAATGGATGTGGCCGCTCTCAGCACGCCATGGGCAACGTCCAGGAGAGAGCCAGGATTTGCCCTGACTGTCAAGGAGAAGTATCAGTCAAGGCCAACCAATGTGTGGGGTGTGGATGCTGGCGCCCAAGGTACGGGGAGCTCCTCAACAATGGACCCGCCCCCGATGACTTGCTGGTACACCCGAGGGCGTCTACAGCCCCAGTGGTGCTTAACCGCCGGGACACTGTGGATGGGAACCCCGGTCTTGCCGTGGCCCAGGAGGCCCACAGCGGGAAAGCAGCGGCAACCGCCAGGGGAGCTTTTCAAGATGGTGCGGGCACGGGAGGTCCCCCACCGGGCCTTGACAGAGACGAGCAGATGGAGGGAGAGCCTCAGGCGACACCGCCCTCTGCCACTGCAACCCCGCCTCAGCCACCACCACCTATTCCGACACCGGAGCCCAAGTCGGTCTACTTTGCCAAGAAGGGTCTTGGAAAGGGCAAGGGCATGGGCGCTCCGCCGGAGGGACCTTTGCCTCCCACACCCCGGCTGCCCCGAAGAGCTACGCCCCCGGGGACTTCGCGAATGTCGGCGCTCCGCCCGACTCCGCCCCCTACCTCTGGAAGCCTGCAGCCTGTCTGCGACCCTCCGCATGGACCTGCACCGAAGAAGGCCAGAGGTCCCGCCGAGGAAAGTCGCCCTATGGCGATTGTGGCTCCAAATGGGAGGCTTTGTGGTTCACGGTGAGAGACCTGGACGAAACGACGCCTCGGCTGGTCCTTCCTTGGACCATCTTCCAGCATGTCGTCATGTCCCGCAGGGCCCTTTGTGGGTTGCAATCATGGGGCAGGGTGGGAGTTATCTTCATCCGACGCGTTGCTCAAGACATTCTTCATTGGGCACGCAGAAGAGGCCACATGACCCGGATTCAGATGGCCAATAATAGCAACCCATGCTTCATGGACTTGCAGGAGGCACATCCCGAACCTCAAGGTGATCTACCGCCCCTCAGTCCCGCCACTGGTGACCATCGGCCCCTCTTTACGTTCCAGGACTTTTTGCGGAACCCCAGCCTCGGGCAGCACTACCGGAACAACGAAGGACCGCCACGACCAGGTCGCACCGCGCTTCCTTGCATCTATTCAGCTCCAACTCGCCAGCTTCCTTTGGCAGAGTCATATGCGGAAGCAGACCGAGCCCAGAATGTGATGGGGCGCTGGGCTATGCAGATCCTGGGTGATGAGCCGGCAGTTCCGCCAGATGAGGGCGCACCGCCTAAAGGCGAAGGTAAGGGTGATTCCGCCCCAAGCTCGACGTCGAGCGGCAAAGGCACAGGGAACACCTTTAAAAGGGTCACTCATTGGTACTGCAAGAGGTGCTCTTATGGTGTTCCCATCACTCGCACCTTCTGCACCATGTGTAGCCGACCCAAGGATGAGTGTGTGGTGTCCGACGAGGAAGAGGAAGAGGACGATGTGGCCCTCAACGAGGAGGAGCTCGCGGAGGTTGCCCGTCTTGAGCGAGAATGTGCAGAGCTGGAGCAAAGGATGAGAGGCCTAAACGCCGGCCAACAGAGGGCGCTCTTGGAGAATCTCGCAAACAGCTCGAGTGCGGTGATGGGAGGTCTGTTGGCGGACACCATCAGGCGCACCGCCCAGCTGCGAGGCCAGAAAGGCAAAGGGGGTTCCAGCAATGTCAAGGTGAGAGCCTCCAATGAGACCGCTCGGAACGACCCCAAGTACGTAAAAGACTTGGAGGAAGGGGTCTCCATGGCGGTGGCCTTCCAACGTCATCGCTCTCGACTACGTGCGGTGCAACATCAAGTGGCCCAAGGCAATGTGGCGCTACAGCCCCGAATGACCCCCGCACAAACTGTGAGGACGATGCCGCCCATGATGAGCCTGGGCCGCGCTCACCGCCTGTATCTCCTCAACAGGTTGGAAAGGTTGGAAAGGCAAGGAGTCACGTGGACCCAAGAAGAGGTGGGGAATTGCTACACTATGGAGCAATTCCTGGACTACTTGGAGGCAAGAGTCGGTGCGGAGGCGGAAAGAGCCGAACCTACAACGGCCTCCAAATCCGCAGGCGCTCCGCCACCTACAGGCGTACCGCCTCCCTCGGGTCCTACAGCGAGTACCTCGACGGGAACCTCTTCTGCACCATCGGGTACAACCGCGGACGGGCGGCCAGAACCTCCCTCGCATCGTTCCGATCTTGCCCAAGATCAAGCAGCAGGGCGGCCAGTGGATCCAGACCAGGGGCACGATCAGCCGGAAGCTCACCCCTCAGCCCCTTCTGCGACGTCTGAGGGAGGTGAGGCTGCAGGTGATACCGCCCCAGCCGAGAGCGATTTGCCTGCTGATGATTCAGCACGGCGTTCCGCTGTGGATGGTTTCCACCTTTGAAGCTCTGTGGAGCCTTCGGGAGTAAGCCCTGTAAACAGGCGTTCCGCCGGAATGGGAGCTGAAAGCTCCGATGTACAGTGGCGGCCTGGCGTTCCGCCCTATTTCTTTTGCAAGTTGTTTGTGAGTTGAGGCAAAGCCTCGGACAGCGGATAACGTGGATGGGTCCGGAAACAGTCGGGTTTCGTGCTGCCCCCCCTTTTCTTCCCTGTCTTCTAAGGAACCGAATTCCTGCATACACTCGCTGCAAAAATTAGATAAGGCGGCAGAGGCTTTTCCAATGCCCGAAGGGAGCGAACCGCCCCGGCAAAAGGCTGGTTCGACTTTAAACGAACAACACCTTCGGCTAACCGCTCTGTTGCCCGTTGCAGCGCAAAAGAGAGTGTATGCATAGGACGGTGCCTGCTCTTTTGGTACAGCAGAGTGTGAGCATGCAGAACTTGCTCGTTAGTGATAACATAGAGTTCTGCAAGTGAATGAGCCGATGTGTCTCAAGACTTTTCGGCTCAGTTGAAGTTTGGCCCTCCCGCCCTCCCTGGTCTTCGGGCCTTGGCGGCAGAGGCTTTTCCAATGCCCGAAGGGAGCGAACCGCCCCGGCAAAAGGCTGGTTCGACTTTAAACGAACAACACCTTCGGCTAACCGCTCTGTTGCCCGTTGCAGCACAAAAGAGAGTGTATGCATAGGACGGTGCCTGCTCTTTTGGTACAGCAGAGTGTGAGCATGCAGAACATACATGCTGCACATGCTCGTCCTGGCAACAATCGAACCACCCATACCCCGGGCAACCTGGACCAGTGTATCACTATGTCCGCCTTGGCTTCAGCAGCACGGCGAAGGGGTGTAGATTTTACCTTGCCTCCACATGTACTGTTGTGGTCTTTAGCTATGTCTTTACGCGCGCACCTTTGGGATCAACTCCCCACACAAAGAACCCTTCTCAGGGTTGACTTAGCGGAAGTTAACAACTGTTTGAGCTGTGTCCCCGTGAAACTTCACCCCCTGCCTTTATGAAAGCTTTCGCCTGCCCGGAACCAGAAGGCTTGATAGCAGTGTTAGTCAGGGCTCTGTCGGCCTGGTGAGAATTGCCGTGCCGCGTGCAGGCCGAACAATGCAATCACCACTAACATGCTGGCTGCTGTGCTGAAGCGCTTCGGGCACGAAGCCTTGGTTCTAAGTCGACGGTCACTTCTGATTCTTGCATACGTTGAGGTCTTGCCTTTGTCATGCTTGAAATCACTGCATGTTTCGGAAGTGGAAAGGTACGGCCACCTGGCGTTCATGGATTTTGTCTGCGCCCGACTTGTTTTACGGCATTCGCCATCATTCGCCTGTTTCGACCTTTAAGCCTTATAAGTTCCCTTCTGCACTTTTCGACGCAGGTGAGTCGAGTGAGTCGTGAGGTGGACTGGCGCGACTCCATTGTCGGGTCTCCTCTGGAGCCGCTGAGCCCAGCGCCGTGCATAGCCCGTGGCCCGCCTGTGGCCGCCCGTGTCTTTGTGCATGTGCTTTCGTTTCTGCGCGCAGGACTTCAAGAGCTGGTCTTTCTGTGCAGCTTTGAGCGTTGAGGCTCTCTGATTCGCCGCGGTAAGTCGTCCATTTTCTCTTCGTCATAGGGGGATGGTATCGACTCCATGGCCGAGACGATGCTGGGTGCTAAAGCAATTCGGGAAGCTGTTGGTGAGGCCCCGGCGCCACGGCAAGTGTCCAATTGCTGTTTCATGCATCGCAGGCCTTTGACAAGTACGACCCGGCTGACTGTCTGGTGCGCATGCTGCGGTGGTACACCGCTCAAGGAAGCAACATGGGTCTCAGTATCTTGATGCCCTGCGTGTCCGCCTCGGCGCTTGAGAGGCAAGGCAGCCGGCCGACAGCCGCGAGTGCTAATTAGCGGAAGCTGCACATAGGGGCATAGGGCCATCGACAGTAACAGCTGTAGCACGAGACGCAAGAGAGCCTCTCAGCTTCTAAGAAAAGCCAACCTGGCGCCTGGCGTTCGAGGCGTCTGCGCAGTATAAACAGGCCCGAGGCCCAAGGTCCCAAGGGTCTTTCGAACCGGGCAGGGCATGGACCGAGATCCAACAAACAGCGGTCAGAGTCGGAGCGCAGACCATAGGGATTTTTTCAACGATGCCCACGGTCTTGACTGATGCCAGCCCAGCATCACTTCGTGTTTGATGGGTTCCGTCCTCACTGCCATGGGGATCCAGGACTTCTTCCGCAGCCAGAGTCTGCTTGGCCTGATGCTGCTTGAGCGCCGCGGGGTTTAGGCTTTGTTGTCGGTTTCGGTTTCCAGCATTGTCAGGAAGTTTGAAGTGTGATGGTTTCGGTTACGAAACCCTGGCACGGGCACTTGGCTTTGAGCCGGGGTTAGATGTGTTTCAGCTGCGAAGCAGCACGAGACGCAGTTGTTTAAGGGCCGGCCAGCGTAGCCCATGGAGCCAAAGCTGCCAGGCCCTGGCCCTGGACCTACAAAAGTGCGCTTCGCTGATCCGAAGCCGGCATCGCCGTAAGCTCTGCAATTCTGCGGATGCTTAGCTGCTGTAGCTTTGGCTTTGGCTTGCGACAGTAAGCAGACGTAGCAAAACAAATACGCATGGTTTCGGTTTTCGATCAGCGCTTGCATCCGCACACGACCCCGCCGCCCCGCCCTTGAGATTCTGAATGGGGAAGCTTTTCCAAAGCACACCTTATGTTGACATGCTCAGCCACCGACTGCACGGTACGCATAGCTGCAAAGCCATGTCTGTCTCATTGTCTGTGCTGGTGGTAGCGGTGGTGTGGGCTTGGCTCTTTAAGGGGTGCAGAAGAACCCGTAATGCGTAATCAATGCCTGCTGATGGCATACCAGGATCCTACTGATGCTGCGGCTCTTTGCAGCGGACGCGTGGCTCTCAGCAGTCAGCAGTCGCCAGCGTCACCATTCTCAGAATCCGGCCATCTTGCAGCATCTTGCAGCTGTTTCAGGTGTATGATGCCCTCATCGTGTGGATGACGGCGCGATGGTACCAGGTTCCCGGTGCTTGAGGCACCCGGGAGCATCTCCTGTTCATGGAGTTTTCCGCATGCAGGTTGTTTTTCAGCGCCTTAGCAAGGGCGACCGCATCCTGGATGTCTGCGGCCTTGGCAGTCCGAGTTGTTCCGGCGGTGTCGCAGCTTTCGTAGAGGTCGGCATTGGGACGGCGACAGCCTTGATTCGCAACAAGGCACGCAGCCGGCATGAGGTTGTAAGACCTATAGCAGGTGTTGGGGGTAAGGGTAAGGCACAGAAATTGAAAGAAAGAATGTGTGAATGCACCCTGACTTGAGCATGTATAGAAGCCATGACCATGACATGCATGTGTTGTATATATGTTGATCCGCTGCCGTAGGGGCCCCTTGAGCTGTATCGTGTAGCTTCGCAGTGAAGGTGAAAAAGCCCGCCAATGACCTGCGCCCGCGGGGTAAGTAACCAGTAGCCTGTGCTGGGCCAGGGAGGGCCCGAACCTACCTCTTGCGCACCCTTTCAAACTTTCGAACTTTCCGTCAAACTCTCTCACTTACCATGTCCGTCGCCGGTCTTCGGTTCAGTCGCTCCACATATTCGAGTACTCCCCTGGAGACTCGGAGTGGGAGCTACATCTATGATGGCACCCCCAGTACGTTCCACGACTGGGAGTTTAGGACCTCAATGAGGCTTAAACTGTATGAAGATGCTATCAGAAGCAGAACCAAGAAGGCGATCGAGCCCGAAGAAGCAGACAGCGACGATGACAGTCGCTTGGAGGCGAGCCCGACCGCGGCCGCCACAGCCCCATGTACCTTCCGAGGACAGAGATGCCCCTGTACCTCCCGAGGACAGGGAAGCACCCGCCGCACCAGCCGATGGTGGTGGATCTCCCAAGAGACCACGCTCGCCGAAGTCATCCGACTCGGTTTCCGGACTTTCACCTGCGGACGAATTAACGTCCTATGCTATTAAGGCATGCAAGGACGGAAATGGTTCACCGCGTGCTGGAAGGACTTCGTGACGAAGCCTTCTAACTCGCCCGTGATATCGGTATAGAATCTCTAACCAAGCCGGGCGGCCTCAGGAACTTCATTACCCAGTTGAGGAATGTCGTTTTCCCTCGTGCCACCGAAGAAGCTCGAGAGCTCTTCCGTGCAGGCCAGAAGCAAGGTGTCCTCGCACGCCAAGGCGGCGAGTCGATGCTGTCGCACGTCAGTCGGCGGCGACGTTGGTGGAAACTGCTCAAAACCTTAGACTCCAGCATCGAGCTCTCCGAGCCGATGCGTGTTGAGTTGCTGCTCGAACTCTCCGGCTGACTCGGCAGGAATGCCTGGTCATCAAGGCGTGTACCGCCAGCAACCGCAACTTTGAATCCGTCGCTGCTACCCTAGTGGAGCACTATAGCGGAGTTCACCTAAAGGAAGGTCGTTCCTTAGGTGGCGGTACCTTTCCGGACCGCCGATCGCACCATCCTGGTGCCCGCCGCGGCAACCCTAAGGGCTACGGTAAGAGTAGGTCTAAGGGTTTCAACCGCCGCGCCTACGTCGCCGAAGACGAGACGCAATACTACGACGACGCGCAGCCGGACGAAGTCGACGACGCAGAAGAGTACGACGACACCTCGGAGATTGGTACCCCTTAGGGGACCAATCGAGGGGTTGCTTGAGGAAGGTACCTGTGCAGGACCTTCCCCCACAGCCATGGTCCTCGTCGCGCCAGTACCTGATAGCGAAGGACTGGTCAACGGATGCTCGGTATCTACCACATCCTGGCACTTTGACAAGCCGTACGAACATTTCGGCGACTTAGTCATTCTGACCGGTGGTGCAAGGTACCAGTTTGACGCTCGAGGCTTGACCCGAGTACGCATCCACAACAGGGATGGATGGGAGGATAGCATTCCCCCATCAATCAGGAAGTCGCACAAGCTCTACCTGCACGATTTGAGGAGTCTTTCGGACCCTCACCAAGGAGAATTTGGTGGTTGCGTAGGGCGGCATCCCAAGATCCTGGACCAGATCTTTAGGCCAGGCGCAACAGCTCTGTTGTCGATGATCTTTAGGGACATCGAGAAGGCGATGGACTCCAACACGCCAGCCATCATTATGCCGTATTGCAATGGCAACCGGCATCGCAGTGTGGCCATGGGTACATGCGTTTCTGCAGGACTCTATGTGCTAGGTATGAACCATGTTCTTGGTCATATGCACGCGAATGTGTCGTGGCCGGAAATGCGTTGTGGTGGCCCCTGCAAATGGTGCAGAGGGTTCAATCACACTGCTGCAGTTGAGCTTGGCAACAAGGTGTTGGCCCACCTGGATCCAGAAATGACCACGTTCGCACGCCGTCCAGCGCAGGCGGAGAGGGACCGGCAGCAGAGGCAGCCGCCGCCGGATCCCGCATCGCACAGCGTCCCGCCTGTGCCAAGTAGAAGGTCGTCGACCTCTACAGGTCCACCGATGAGAACGGGGACCCCAAGGAATCCCCCCCCCACACCCCCACACCCCCACACCCCCCGTCGCACCCACACGCACCCCCTCGCACCCACACGCACCCACACGCACCCACACGCACCCACACGCACCCACACGCACCCACACGCACGCACACGCACCCACACGCACGCACACGCACGCACACGCACGCACACGCACGCACACGCACGCACACGCACCCACACGCACCCACACGCACCCACACGCACACACACGCACACACACGCACACACACGCACACACACGCACACACACGCGCACGCACACGCACACGCACACGCGCACGCGCACGCACACGCACACGCACACGCACACGCACACGCACACGCACACGCACACGCACGCACACGCACACGCACGCACACACACCCACACACCCACACACCCACACACCCACACACCCACACACCCACACACCCACACACCCACACACCCACACACCCACACACCCACACACACCACACACCCACACACCACACACACCCACACACCCACACACACCACACACACACACACCCACACACACACCACACACACCACACACACCACACACACCACACACACACACACACACCACCCACACACCACACACACCCACACACACCACACACACACACACACACCCACACACACCACACACACCACACACACACACACACACACACACACACACACACACACACACACACACACACACACACACACACACACACACACACACACACACACACACACACACACACACACACACACACACACACACACACACACACACACACACACACACACACACACACACACACACACACACACACACGCACACACACACACACACACACACACACGTGCTCAGTACAGCGTCTCCAAACATCTCTCAAAACCGGGGATGCTCCTGAAACCACTGAAAACCCTCCCCCTCCCATGCCGGTGAACACCGCCCCCGGCGCAATCGCTTTGCGTAGTCGTGCGTGCACAGGATGACTGAGCTGAGCTCACATGAATGTGTCGATGTTTCATGCTCAAGCTAAAATGAAGTTAGAGGCCCTCTTATGCGCCTGGACGATTCAGCTTATCGAGAATTTGTTCCGGCCACGGGCCTCTTTCTTTGATAGGCCGACGGGACTGGAAAAGACCCAGGTGGAGTGCCACTGCGAGTGTATCAGTAAGTGTGAAGAACCGGGTCACGACTGGACATTGCCCGGTCTCAGCCTGCTGTGTGTGGTGCAAGCCCTGGTGATTGTCTGGTTCTCACTGAAGCGTCTTTGCGCAACATCGTCTCCTTCGAATGAGCCGGGCCCTAGCCCAAGGCGAAAGGGCCGGGGCATTGTCGAGATGCATTCCAGGACAGAGAGTGGCTGCCTACTTCAATGATGACCGCATGTACCACGAGAGGGTGTTGCTGTGGAAATCACATGACATGACTTGGGCCATTCTTACCCCCGACATGGATGTCTACATGGAGGATTTCTCGGGGGCCGGAGATGTAGGCTGTGACCGCTTTAGGATCAAGGACGTCGATTTCAAGTACTGGTCCAGGGTTGGCGGGGCGGTCTATCGCTTCGGTGAGATTGTATCTGACGAGATGTTGCGGAACAGCATCGGCGAGGCCTTCGATCTCATGGGGGAGGAGGTCTTCAAAAGAGAGGCCTGGAGGCCAGAGAAGATCCTTACGCAGGATGGGACGATGGTGGATCCGTCGGCGTTCTTGGGGCGAATCTTGGTTCCAAGGCGAGTCCGGGGGAAGGGCAACATTGGGCAGGGCCCGACTGAAGAGCCCGCTTCGACTCCCATGTCCCCTCCCGCGGGGTTCTTTTGGCTGAGTGCTGAGCAGCATGGTGCCATCAAGATTGGTGACGAGATTGACTTGACCGCCTTCAAGACCGTTGGCCTTGATGGCCACAACGTAGCTTTCAAGACGGGGGCCCAGTGGCTGAGGGCAGAGCTCGTGAAAACCAGTGAGTTGGATGACTTCCTTCGTGACCGGGCCGTCCGAGGCACGGTTGGGGCCATGACGTCGCCCAAGGCAGTGGGTGCTGTCGAAGAAAGTGATGACGGTGATCAAAAGCAAGATGTTCCGAGCGAAGACGCCAGAACTTTGGCCGTGGACTACGATGAGCAAGGTGAGAGGTTCAAGGATTGGAAGCAGGTTGTTGCAGAGAGCAGAGAGTATGCCTACCAGGATTGGCCGTGGGAGGGTCCCTTGACGACGCTATACATCCTTAAACAGATGTACAAGCAAGGTGGGAACCCGAAGCTCTGGCTTCAGCTATGGTCCAGATCGAAGGGCGTTCAAGAGCATGACAGGGTGATGCACGAGTTGCGCACCCTGTGTGAGATACTCTACCAGGGAGGCGTCTATGACCAGTTGAATATGGCGACCTTGTCCAGTTTCGAGGTATGCTGCAGACGCCTTCAGAGCATCATTGACGCCTATGCCTCAGGCACCGCATCATCCCCCGATTGGGGGGCGGCCAAAATCATCACCAACTTCCGATCTCCAGAAGACATCGTGGCCCCACAGCTTCGCAACTGGGCAGCCAAACGTGGAAAAGATGAGGTCGAACTCGCGAATGCAAGGGCCAAGATGCGTGATCATCGTCGGTTACTCCCCCCAGGCGAGGACGAAGGGGGGGCGGCTGCATCGTCCAACGATTCGGGCGCCAAAGGCTCCGCCGCTAAGGCCAAGGCTAAGGCGGGGGCCAAGGGTGCCCAGGGATCCTCATGAGCGCGTGCCTTGGCGGGGGGTCACGGCCGAGCCCTTCGCCGCAGCCAAACTCTCGGCCGAGTGGAAGTGGAAGGGACCTCTTTCCTTTGCCTGACCCTGGGTCGCTCGTGAAGAGGAGCAAGGTCAGTCGGAAGGGGCTCTCAGAGGTTCAGCCGCAAGATGCACGCTCGTGAGGACGTGCGCGCTGCGGCCGCTTCGCTGAATTGGATGCAAGGTCTTAAGATGATTTTGTTGAAGGCGCGGCGCCCAGTCCTAGGCAGGAGGAGGTTTTTCTGCACCTTGATAGTCTTGCTGACGATGTCGCTCGTCCCCGTGATGGGGAAGACATCAAGGCACCTGAGGCAGCCCTTACCGAGCTGCTCAAGGGTCGCTCGGAGTATCACACTCCGAGTGCGCCCGTGTCCCTGGCGCCGTTCAACCTCGAGCGCGTGAGCCTGCCGGAGAACTTGGATGGTTTGCCGCCAGCCGAGACCCTCCTCCCGGAGCACGCCCGTCGATATTTGAGCCGGCCTGAGCAAATGCTTTCAGAGGAGGTGCCCGTGGACTCCTTCACTCCGTATTGGGATGCGTGTCTTCTGCACAGCAAGCGGCAATATGTTTCTTTTCTTCGAAAGCTTATGAGCATTGATTTCTTGCTTTTTACTACAGAACCCAAAGAACACATCGGCATATTCTTTGTTTACAAGAGCGATGGCCACCGCATACGGCTTATCGTCGACGCTCGAGGTGCAAATCGACACTTCAGGGCCCCTCCGGGGGTCGACCTGTGTTCAGCCGAGGGGTTTGCTCGCCTTGAGGTTCAGCTACCTGCCGACTGTGTGGATCGACCTGCTGCACTTCAGCATTCTTTGCGGCAGGGGGGCCTACATTTCGGACTAAGTGATGTTAAGGACGCTTTCCACAGACTGCGGCAGCCACCGTGGCTGGCAAAGTACTTCTGCATGAGGCCCATCGAAGCCCACTACCTCGGAATGACCGGCAAAGAGCTGGACGGCAAGAGGTTGAGGTCCCAAGACAAGATTTACCCCATGCCTGGATCTCTTTGTATGGGTTTTACATGGAGCCTGTTCTTCTGTCAGACTATCAACGAGACCCTGGTAGGATCTATTCCCCGTCTTGAACATTCCGAGTCTGTGCGAGATCGTGGAGTTGCATGTTGCTTCGATCTCAGAGGAGATCTCGACTCAGGAGCTCAGGTTCAGGATTTAGTCCGGCACTACGTGTGTGTGGATAATCTCGGCCTCGTATCACCTCATGAGGCTGTGGTCCGCTCCGGCCTCGATGAGCTGGATCGCGAGTTCGCTGGGCGGGGGCTTCTTCTCCACCCCGGCGAGGTGGGGACGGAGGTCACTGCGCTTGGAGTTGACCTCGATGGCACCAAGTTGTGCGCAAAAATCACGTCTAAGCGATTCCACCGTGTGCGGCAGGCAATCAGGGGCATCCTCCAGCGGAAGCGCGTCTCTGGCAAGGTGCTCGAGATCGTGGTGGGTCATGCTACATTTTGTGCCATGTTATGCCGTCCCTTGCTTAGCATCTTCAACACCGTGTATAAGTACATCCGGAGCTGCTACTTCAAGCCTGAGTTTCTCTGGGGCACCGTTCGCCAGGAGCTGCAGGCCTTCGTCGGTGGCATGCTCTTCCTTCGAGCCGACTGGTGGCGGCCTTGGGGGGAAACGGTGACCATGACAGATTCAAGCAAAGGGGGCTTCGGAGTATGCAGTTCCTCGTGGTCTCCGAGTACTGTTGCAAGGGTGGGGCGTCAGCCGGAACGGTCTCGTTTCAGAAGGCTGGGGCCTCACTCAGCCCGAGAGAGCGCCTTGACGGCGGCTGGGTTCAGGTGGTGTCCCGATGAGCGCCTCTGGACCGTCGACGAGGAGGCAGAGGGGCTGGACACTCAATGGCAGATTGACGAAACCTTCGAAGAGGTGCCGGCTTGGCTCCTGGTTAAAGAAGTGGAAACCAGTGCTATGGGGCAGGTGGGACTTCGAGGAGGACATCTCCATTCTCGAAGCTCGTGCCTTAACCAAGGGTGTTCGAAGGATCGCCTTGATGCCTTGCTCCCGGGATCAGAGACTTCTCTTCTTGTCTGATAACATGGGCGTCGTCCTTGCTTTTGCTCGCAGTCGAAGCGGCCAGTATGGGTTGTTGCAGCAGATACGCAAAGCCAACGCCTACCTCTTGGCATGTAACATATCAGCAAGCTACAGGTGGCTACCCAGTGAGTTGAACAGCAGTGATGAAGGCAGTCGTTTGCACGGCGATCTTTCTTCAAAGACCTTAGCAGATCAGATTCGCGCTACTGAGCCTGGTTTCGATGAGAAAGTTGCGAAAGCGGGTGCTGGCGCCGCCAGCACAGGCCAACGCCTCATTTTTGGGGCCCACCAAGCATCGGCGGCTAGAGGCACCGACGCCCCGTGCTCAAGCGGCCAGCCGAAGTTCCCATCTACGGGCTCCGGAGCTTGCGCTCAACTCTGCAGCACATCGGAGACAGGAGGCCCTCGATCTGAGCAAGGTTTCTACGAAAAAGTCGGTGGGGCCTTCTGCGGCCGAGCACAGAAAAATCAGCGGAGAGGCCAGTGGCAGCTCGAGCACCAGCCGCTCGCCGTCGCCACTACCAAAGTCCAGGAAGCGTCGCCTCCCAAGGCGGCCGAAAGGTCGTCGCTCCACTCGGCTAGTGGACTCAACCTTAGGGGCGAAGGATCTTCTTCCTCAGACACACTTGGAGCAGCAGGCGGTGCAAAAGCGGACTCAAGACAGTTATGCGGTAGAGCTGGATCGGTTTAATCAATTCGCTCAGGAGAACAAGTTGACCACAACGCCGGGGGATCCTTTGGATGCGGCGCTGGTGCAACACATGAATCAGATGTTTGCCGCGGGATACCAGAGCTACCAAGGCGATCGATTGATGGCTGCAGTCATGCATCGTCATCCGGCTTGCGGTCGGTTGGGAAATGTGAAACTTCCTCGGGCCTGGAGGGCCCTCAAAGGATGGAGAAAGCTATGCCCGGGTCGCACAAGAGATGCCTATCCACTTGCGGTTTGGGCAGCCGTGGCGGCGCTTCTGGTGACGTGGGGATTGCTGGCCATGGCTGTCTTTGTGATGGTAGCGGTATCTTCGTACGCGAGGCCGTGCGAGCTTCTCCACTGCAAAAAGGAATCGCTAGTGCGACCTGCGAGCCAAGTGACCTCACATTGGAGCCTCCTACTGATGCCAGAGAAGGAGCATCGGGTTTCAAAGACCGGCCTGACGGACATCAGCATCATCCTCGACAGCCCTTTCTTGGGGCCGAAGGTCTTCAGTCAGATGAAAAAGGGGCGTCAGGATCAGCCCCTGTGGTCGTTCGACTACGGCGCCTACTCCAAGGCCGTGGCGGCAGCGGCGTCCCGCCTAGGCGTGAGTCTGACGCCTTACCAAACGCGTCACAGCGGCCCAAGCATAGACAGAAGTCGCAACTATCGCAGTCAGCTCGAGGTCCAGCGACGTGGACAGTGGAAAAGCACCAAGAGCGTGCACAGATACGAGAAGAGTGCGAAACTTGCATCGGTGTGGAATCGGATCCCGGTGCAGAAGCGGCTCTTCATGCAACTGTGCGAAGATTCGCTTGGGGGTATCCTGGGCGGTACAGCGGGTGTCCCACGCATCGCCGAGGTCGATATCTCCAAACCCAGTTTTATGTGATGGATCTTTTCAGTGGGTGCGGTGGCGTGGCGCAAGCATGTCGCCAGCTAGGTTTCCATGCAAAAGAATGGGACCTCAGATTCGGCCCTCAGCACGATCTGACTTCTCCGTTGGTAGTCCGAAGAGTGCTGCGAGAAATCCGCCGTGGGAGAGTTTGCTCGGTGATGATGGCTCCAGCTTTTGCCAGCTTCTCCACTGCACGTGATCGCACTAAGGTCATTCGCAATCGCTCGCATCCTTGGGGTCTCCCAAGCGCCGAGCTTACTGGGGATGAAGCTGCTCAGATTCAACAGAGCAATAGCATTTTTCTGACTTGCTGCAGAGTGGCTCGCCTCTGCATCAAGAAGGGGGTCCCTTTTGTCATCGAGCATCCGTGGACTAGCAAAGCGTGGTGCCTGCCCCCAGTTCAGTCTTTGCTTCAGCACCCTCGCTCTCGCTTAGTCCGGGCAGACTCGTGTCAGTTCGGCACGGCCTGGAAAAAGTCCAGCGGCTTTCTTGTACACAACATTGACAGCGACGACCTTCATCGGCTTCTGCATGTCTGTGACGGCCGTGACTTTTGTTCCCGCACAGGTCGTCGGCATGTTCAGCTTCGTGGCTCGCACCCAAGCGGTATGCCCATGACCGTGGTTGCGCAGCCCTACGCTCGCCCTCTCTGCCGCGCGCTGGCTCATGCCTTGACTGCGCCTTGGCATTACAATCATTTTCACTATTAGTGGACAACACTTCCCTGCTTTGGGAATGGTGATTTGGGATGAGAGAGGGAAGCCGAAAGCCTAACAAACTCTGTGCAGCTTCACATCCGTGTGCAGTTTTACGGCAAGGGGCTTTTGAGCCTTTGTGCAGCTTCACGTCGTTGTGCAGTTTTACGGCTTGGGGCTTGTCTACGACCGCTACAGCAGAAGCTTTGCTCTACAGTGCGGGCATCGCTGCGACTACGCCGAGGAACACTTGAGAACCGTTTTCCGACAAAAAGGAGTGAGCGATGTGAAGTCTAGTTGTGCGTGCACAGGATGACTGAGCTGAGCTCACATGAATGTGTCGATGTTTCATGCTCAAGCTACCCGCCCACTCCGCCCCCAAGGGGATGAGAGAGGGAAGCCGAAAGCCTAACAAACTCTGTGCAGCTTCACATCCGTGTGCAGTTTTACGGCAAGGGGCTTTTGAGCCTTTGTGCAGCTTCACGTCGTTGTGCAGTTTTACGGCTTGGGGCTTGTCTACGACCGCTACAGCAGAAGCTTTGCTCTACAGTGCGGGCATCGCTGCGACTACGCCGAGGAACACTTGAGAACCGTTTTCCGACAAAAAGGAGTGAGCGATGTGAAGTCTTGCTTTGCTCGGGGTGCTGGCAGTCCCAAACCCTGCTCTATGGAGCAACCCCATCCAACGCTTTCAGCAGGCCCAGGTGGAGCAAGTGACCCTGGACAGAAACGAAGGGCCGAACATGTGCTTGAATCAACGGCCCCGTGAGTCTTGTGCACGCGGCAAGCTCACCATTCTGCCGTGTCGAAGTTGGGCGAATGCCCCTGTAGAGAAAAGCTTGAATCAAATTTGTGAGTACCGCACTGTTTCCCAGCTTTGTGCAAGGAAAAACTTGCGTCTTCTTTTTTGTATCACATGTTCTTGTGCTCCATGTCTCCGGAAAACTCGCTTTGCAAACCCGTCTTTGGCTTCGCTTGCTTCATGTCCCAGAAAGAACCATCGGATTCCTTTTCCTCCGTCGTTAGTTCAAGATTGGAAATGTTCTCTCGGGTCATCTCTCCCCTTCCTGCCTTGGCTTCTTTTGTTCTTGGGGTTGCTTGTTCATCTTTTGGGCTGTCCTTTGCTTTGCTCTGGGGCATGAGGAGTGGGCAGTGGGCAGCTCAGGCGCTCTCCCTTCCACTGTTGTTCGGCGTTAACCGGCAACCTGCATTGGAACGGATTCGGATCGCGTTTGCTTAACACATGCAAAGTGAAACTCGCTGTCAAGACTTCTACCGAAAGATCTGCGAAACAGGGCCAGAAGCTTTGAAGCCATGGCCAACGCTCCCGCCATGACGACCATGCCGACGAGAAGGAAAGCATGCTCAGGACTCGCCTAAGCTCCAGGGAAGACGAAGGAGCCTAAAAGCAAAATGCGCGCAAAAGCTAAAGCTCCTGACTCCTGCCTCGTAGAGATGGCCCAAAAGCACGGGCGACGCAATGCGTGCCAGGTTGTTGACTGCCGACTCCTTCAAAGCCACAAAACTCGCGGACCAGATGTGCAAAGAGGTGAGGGTGTACCTGGCCTACTTGTATGGTGCTGACCCAGCCACTATCACTAGCAGCTAGCGGAATTTTGTTGCAAAGGGCATCGCTGCGGGGAAGCCAGTGCCCTTGAAAGGGGCCGTGGTTTTGAGAGTTCGCTTCCTCGAAGGTCTTTCCCCCGATAATTGCAGTGAGGGTCCAGAGATCTTCGTGCGCTGCAAGATAGCCGCGAAGGGGACCTCTGACTGGCATGGCCTCATTTTGGGAGGCCCCAGAGGACGCCCGCTTGATTTTTTTCAATCGGCCGCTTGATTTTGGAGGCACACGAAACTTCTATTGAATTTGAGGAAATTTCAATCGTTTGGAACTTTTGTTGGTACGTGTTTCTATTGATTTTGAGTGTTGACTTCTATTGATTTTAATTGTGGTCTTTCTATTGATTTTATGGAAAATTTCTATTGATTTTATGGAAAATTTCTATTGATTTTATGGAAAATTTCTATTGATTTTATGGAGATTTTCTATTGATTTTGAGGTGGATGTTTCTATTGATTTTATGGAGATTTTCTATTGATTTTGAGGTGGATGTTTCTATTGATTTCAGCTTGCTGAAACGACGGCCCGGGCGGCCCCAGTTTGCTAACCAAAGAGAGAGAGAGAGAGAGAGAGAGAGAGAGAGAGAGAGAGAGAGAGAGAGAGAGAGAGAGAGAGAGAGAGAGAGAGACAGAGAGACAGAGATACAGAAAGACGGAGGAGACAGACAGAAGAGATGGGATGTGGGCCGGACGGCCCCACGAAGGGAGAAGGCGGGGGAATCATTTTTGGCAGGTTCGTGCATGGCAGCCGTCTTGCAACCAAAGCTTCCAGGGGCCGGACGGCCCTAAGAAGGAAGAAGGGGGGGAATCATGCTTCAAATCTCGTGCATGGCAGCCGTCTTCAAGCCAAGCTGCCAGGAACTTTGGGCTAGGTCAAGATGCAGGGCGATGATGAAATTGTCGTCCAGGCCTATGCCAAGCTGCTTCACGCCAAGGTTCCAGGCAAAGTCGCGAGGTCCTTGGTCGTGATGTGGCGGAGAGGTTACCTAGACCAGCTGGAGATTCTTGGCATGAACACATATACATATACATATATATATATATATACATATATATACTTATACATATGCCGTATATAGACTATGTATTTAATTTTTTACTTATATAGAGCTAAGGGATGTCGACAAGGAAGTGGGCTTCCTGAACTTTTTGGAGTACCTCATGTACAAGATCGAGAATGATATGGACATCGACCCCGAGCGCTGGCCGGAGGCGACGAAGCACATGAAGATGAAGGAGCACGGGTACATCCGCTTGTTGCTCAACGATGCTTCATTGATCGCTCTCCAAGCAAACCCAGGCCCCTTGAGCGGAATGACGAAGCCTCAACTACTTTCGGAAGCAGTGCGGGTGGGGCTTAAGGTACACCAGTCCTGGAGCGACCAGGAGTTGCGGGCGAGGATCATGGAGCACGTGGACGCTACATTTTTTTGAAATTGAGCCGCCCGTGCGCCAGGTCCGAGGATCTGACCAGTGCCAGGCGGCTGGGAGGTGAGCTCCAGGACAAGCCTCAAGTTTCCAAGATTCAAGGGGTCGTTTGTTAGAAGCGGCTTAATTCAAGTGCTAATCCAGGGCAGGCTACTGCCAGGGTATAATTCAAGCCGAGATCGATCAAGCCCTGCTTGACATGCAAAATTGTCTTGGCGAGAAGAGGACCTGAGCTGAAGTTTTTTTTCATAGTACGCTGCATGCTTCAGGCAGGCCTAGCCAGGTCCTGGGCTTCAAGCTCCAGGCAGGTCTGTCGGGTTTAAGTGCTGCAGGCCGCCAGGCAAGTCCTCAGGTTCTTAGAGCCATGGGCAGCCCCGCAGCTGCTGGCCGCGGCGGCGAACGCAACTTCGCCAAGCCGGAGGTGGACCAGGAGCACTTGCTGGACGTGTTCAAGAAACACGTCAAGCTCCTAGGTGTCCAGGCCGCCTTCAACTTCGACCCCTACGGCAACCTAGCCAAGACGAGTGCTGTCCAGGCCAAAGGGCTTTCAAAGGCGACGGTTTTGCTCAAGAAACTCCAGGAGGTGGAGAGCGGCTTGGCTTTCAAGTACAAGGACTTGAAGGAGTGCTTGGCCAAGGTCAGCAAAGACTACCCGGACCTCATCCACCAGGCCCCGCTGAGCAAGCAAACTGCTTGGGCTGGGGACACGGCCGAGATGCTGCTGACCGTCATGGCTCATGCTCGCCGCTTGTGCAACGACACCAGGTTCAAGGAGGCTTGCAGCAAGGCGACCCAGTTCGAGATCAAGGATCTCGAGGAACTCAGGGCGCTGCTTCTTCCAGAAGTGTCGGCCTCACCAGCCAAGCTCCAGCAGGCGGAGACCCACAACACCAAGCGGCCGAGCACAGGGACGCCAAGCCCTGCGACCAAGCCGCCAAAGCTACGGTCGTTAGCCCCTGCGAGCAGTCCGCTTCGAAAGATTCGGACCAGGGATCTGGAGCTTCCAGACACTCCCAAGACCGCCAAGACGAGTTTGAGCCAGGAAGCCGAAGGCAGTCCCGTGCCAGGCAGCAAGGCTCGAATCAGGAAGTCTTGGGAGGGCGAGGTTTTGAAGAAGCCAGCTGCAGCCGCTAAGCCTGTGAAAAAGGACAGTGACAAGCCGAAGAAGAAGCCGGCCTCTAATCTTAACATTAGAAAAAATTTTTGTTGTTCGTAAGCATATATTTCTATCTAGGAAGATGTATTTAAGTG